TTGCAGAAAACGAAAGTAATGTACAACAACCTCGGAAGATGCAGCCCTTCGAGATAGGTAATAGTTCACTACAACTTGTAAAAGACTATCCCCCAAATGCAGAGATGTTACTTGACTCGTTCTTGACTCAAGACAGGCTTACCGGTCACCATAAATTGTTCTCGAATTTGCGGACGACTTGAAGGTTCAAGTCAGCTGCAAGGCTAGCTTGAAAGCGACGTCATGCGTTATTCCAACATGGCCGCCTCTTGAATGGACGTCGCGCGGAGGGTGGCGACTTTTGAGTTTGCTTGCCTCGCCATAAGCGTACATTTTCTGGGGCGCACTGCCTGCCGAAGATTCTTGGACCCGCTTTACGTGACCGAGGAAATCCGATGGAGTTGTACGATAAATTGGTCACCATAAATTGTTCTCGAATTTGCGGACGACTTGAAGGTGACTTGGCTCGGTCGAAGTCGGGACAAGTTTCAAGTCAGCTGCAAGGCTAGCTTGAAAGCGACTTCATGCGTTATTCCAACATGGCCGCCTCTTGAATGGACGTCGCGCGGAGGGTGGCGACTTTTGAGTTTGCTTGCCTCGCCATAAGCGTACATTTTCTGGGGCGCACTGCCTGCCAAAGATTCTTGGACCCGCTTTACGTGACCGAGGAAATCCGATGGAGTTGTACGACGAGGAACAATTCCACGCTCGATACAGATTCACGAATAACGCCGTGCGGCAGCTGCTGGGTATGTTGCCGCTCCGTGAAAGTGGGGACAACCGAGGACAGCCTGTGCCTCCAGTGTTACAGCTACTGATGACTCTCTGGTTTTAATGCGCTGGCACATTCCAAACAGTCACCAGGAATCTCATCCGCATTCCGTAGTCGACAGTTTGCCGAGCAGTAGGAAAAGTCGCGCTACTCATCGCAAAGCTCCTACGCAATGCTGGTGCGCTTTCCGCAGCCGGCAGCACTTTCTATAGTTATGCGGGACTTTTATGAGGTGGCTGAGTTCCCTGGTGTTACAGGCTGTGCCGACTATACACACGTGCGTACTAATAGCTTCGGTGGGGACAACGCCGAAGTGTTCCGTTACCACAAGGGCCATTTCTGTTTTTCTTAAAAACGACGACAATTTCCGCCTCTTTCGGTACAAAATTGACTCGGCGATGTGCCTGTGTGCCTCGTCTATCCTTTCGTCCCGTCTGGGGCGCTGTTTCTTGCTCAGAAAGGCATCGCTTGTAGCACAACACTACGTAAAATTCCACGCACATAAAAAAGAGGTGCCCCTATCACGGTTTTTTTTTATCCGCTTCACCATCATGCAGCGATACACTGCTGCACCCCGCGAGACAGAATTCTGCTGAGAGCAATGTCCCGACCCGCGCTTTTTCTCTTGTTTACCAAGCTCAACAAAAGAATACGGATCACATTTAATCCCAGAACTTGTTTTTTTTTTTTTTCATAATAACTGCGACCTAGCCCACTACAGGCATGCACACAGGTGAACAGAAAGGCAAATACCGTGAAAATCGCGTCCCCTCGTGAGCCAGGTCAGCACAATTACATGCCGTGGCGTTCGATTGAAAAAAAAAAAAACGATGAAAGAACCAAACGTGGTGCTTGTTTAACCGCGGAGCCGAACCACGAGATTGAAGTAAATAGAAGAGTAAGAATGGGGTGGAGCACATTTGGCAAGCACTCTCAAATTATGACAGGTAGATTGCCACTATCCCTCAAGAAGAAGGTATATAACAGCTGTATCTTGCCGGTACTTAGCTACGGAGCAGAAACCTGGAGACTTACAAAGAGGGTTCAGCTTAAATTGAGGACGATGCAGCGAGCAATGGAAAGAAAAATGGTAGGTGTAACCTTAAGAGACAAGAAGAGGGCAGAGTGGATTAGGGGACAAACGGGGGTTAAGGATATCATAGTTGAAATAAAGAAGAGGAAATGGACATGGGCCGGGCATGTAGTGCGCATAAAGGATAACCGCTGGTCATTAATGGTAACTAACTGGATTCCCAGAGAAGGCAAGCGAGTCAGAGGGAGACAGAAGGTTAGGTGGGCAGATGAGATTAAGAAGTTTGCGAGTATAAAGTCGCAGCAGCAAGCACAGGACCGGGTTAACTGGCGGAACATGGGAGAGGCCTTTGTCCTGTAGTGGACCTAGTCAGGCTGATGATGATTCAACATATTGCTTCGTACCATCCCCGTTCAGTCAGATGTAAAAATCTACGTTTATGCTGACGACATTGCTTTTTTTTTTTTTTTCAATGGCAAATAACCCCCCCGTACCATACAGTGTCTTTACAACATCTTGCAAACATACCTAAATTAACTCGAACTTTGGCTGGATGGTTTGATGTTGACTATGAATACCATTATATGTGCTATTCTTGTTTTTCCTGTTCAAGATCCTGTGCACTTATCTATTCATTATAAGCTCCCAAGAAGTACAACCATTGAAATACCTTAGAGTTATGTATAACGAACATCTCAACTGGCGACCTCACATTGAATACATCGCGACAAAAGGAGTACTCGCAATGTGTATATTGCAGAAGTTGAGCAGCTGTAGATCTGGGATGAAAAGGGTGGCACTTTTGATGATATATAGTATGTCCGACCTGTGTTAGAGTTTGGCTGCATTCTTTTTTTTTTTTTTTTTTGTGCGCCAGCCTACAAGCTTCGGCCACTCGTTCTATTGGAAAGCGGCTTTACAGCTCTGCTTAGAACTTCCAAAGTATACTGCAAATGCAGTGTTATACCTTGAAGCACGAATGCCACTTCTTTTATATCCCTTCAACATTCTTACAGTGCCAACTTTTTCAAGATTATATGAAGCAACCTTTAACCCTGATCAAATTATTTTCATTTCGAATACCGATTAATTTTTCTCCATGCATTGACACAGCTTTCACAAACCACAAATAGTACTTTTCAATTGTTACTTGAGCCTCTAAATATACAAGTTCGTGATCTGCTTCCTTTAACTGTGCAACAAAATTAAACAAATTGTTTTCCATGATATCTTCCCAACTCAAGCTAAGCCATTAACTACCAGCATTTATAAATGGTTTATTGAAGAAACATTTAAGTACTCTGCCAACGAATGTAATTATTGCAACAGATGCATGGCAACTAGATGAAAAATCAGGCGTGAGAATATACTACCCTGTACTTGATTGGCAATTTTCGCTGCATTTACCAGAATTTCTTCCTGTTTTTCTGGCTGAATTTATGGCAATTATTTTAGCTTAGCGCAAGGTAAATACTTCCGATTCTAGTCGTTGAAATCATAACCGCCTCATTATCTGTGTGCTCTTCTCTGTCCACATCCGGTTGCTCACCCATACTGGAACTTTTGAAATCATTGGTTCCCTGTCATCTCCGAAGCATTAATTTAACCTGGGCACCAGGCCACAAAGGTTTGTTGTTAAATGAAATGGCTGATGCTCTTGCGAAAGCATCGCTTTCGGTGCGGATCATTTCTTTTTTCCCACCCAGAGTACACATTACGGTGGTGTGATTGTGCATGCTTACAATCAGGCAAAATTTATCAGACCCTGCACTGACAGCTTCTCCAGAGTACAACCCCTTGTTATTTCCCTGACACAGTGAACTGTCTAATTCAAGGATGATAGAAGTTGTCATCACAAAATTTTGTTGCCGCGTTACCTCCCTCAATTTCTACTTGCATAGATCAGGTTAATTTACTGTAATCAAGAGGAAACAAAAAGTCATTTCTTATTATCTTGTCGGTGTTTCCATTTATTCAGGAAAAGCATACAAGCACCACCTCTTCAAAAACTGGGCTTGCAATTGTCAGAACCTGCTCTTCTGTCTTTTGGAGCCTCTACACTGGGGTACAGCCCCATGGATGTTTTATTCGCCATTCAGGAATACATCACTGCAACTAAACGATCATCTTGCTAAATTGTGTGCTCACTACACACTTTCAAATTTTAAATTGGCACATCAAATTATACTAGCGTTCCTAGGAATGAAGCAATGCAGAAAGTATCGGGAAAATTCACCTTATAATCCGATCCCCTCCATTGGGTAAGAGCCATGTGCAGAGGAAACCACCAACGACAACCTGGTATTACATAGCATGGCTCAGTGCTTTGAATGAATGAATAAACTTTATTTGAAGCCCGGCAGTCTTCTTCGGGCGAGGTGGGGGAAGAGGATATTAACCCGTGTCCATTCCCACCTTCCGTCATGATGATGGCGGCTGAAAACGTCTGAACTACTTTAAAAACTGAGCACTGTGCACTTCATAGTTGAAATCAAGAAGAAAATGGACATGGACCGGGCATGTAGCGCGTAGACAGGATAACCGCTGATCATCAAGGGTAACTAACTGGATTCCCAGAGAAGGAAAGCGGGTAAGGGGGAGACAGAAGGTTAGGTGGGCAGATGAGATTAAGAAGTTTGCGGGTATAAATTGGCAGCAGCAAGTACAGCACCGAGTTAACTGGCGGAACATGGGAGAGGCCTTTGTCCTGCAGTGGACGTAGGCTGATGATGATGCGCTCAGAACCACAAAACCATTGCTAAGCCTAACGCATTCTTTATTCTTTTCATGATAAACGGTAACAACGCGGGCAGTACGAAATCGATGCGAGCGTGCGAACTGCGCACTGTGAGTAACTTCGCAAATGTCGTCGTCATCGGGCACCATAGGTGCACTAGTAAACGCCAATGACGGTCATATTAACGCGTCTACAGGTGAAAGCAGTTTCGTACACCTGTCAAGCGTTCGTGCGCGCGACACGAACGCGTGACAACGCATACTGCGTCAGTGGACACACTACAAAGATATTAGGCGACACAATAAGAAAGTTTTAAAAATGGTGTAAACATGCCACGGTTAAGTTAGCGCAAGCGCGCAACCGCAAAATTGCACAACAGTGACTCTTAAGGGAGCGGATAGGTACAAGCACGATACGTACCGCCGGCAACGCGACGGTACCTTCCGTACAGCCGCTAGAAAATAAAGGTGCAGCCTTACCATTTTAATTTGCCCTCAGGGTGACTCTGCAGTAGTATGCTTTTTTTTTGAACAGTTCAACAGTGATGCCGTCCAGAATTATGCGCACTAACAAAGCCCAAAAGCTCTGCAGCCCATTCTACACGCCGCGCTTGCCTTAATCCGTCTGGCGGCGCTTTGGTGAAGAAAGGCTGGAACACGGAGAAAATATACCACGTGACTTTTTTTTAGTCTTTGTTTGACTAAATAATTTTATCATTAAAATTGCCGTAGTTTACATTATCAGACAACTTTTTGTTTTATTCCACCCTATTCTAAATAAATTATTGGGTGTAGGCAAAGAGGTTTTATGTAACCTTTGGAGTAGCAGTCCCAGCCGCCACCAACGGGAGCAAGTGAAGCCGCCGCCGGCCATATTGCTAGAGGAAAAACAGGGCGGAACCGCTTTAGACCGCAATGGAATACGCGCGTTGCGCGCATCCGTTTGCAGTTCCACGATAAAAAAAAAAATGAGATGGTAACTACTTTTAATTTACACAAACGAATAAATGCCTCTTCTTGTTTATGAAACAAATTATTTGCCACTGCCAGATGCACGCTTTCAAATCAATCTGTTGTCGAGGGATGCTTCGCACATCGAGCTTGCAGGAGCATGCACTATTTCGATGCAAAAGGGTTGTAGTATATATTGGGTGTTTTAAGAAATGTGCCTGCAGATACTCAAGATCAAGGGCAACGTCACATTTGCTCACCTCTTTCATATATGTGTTTGTGTGTGTGTCGGTAGATTTCCAGAGAATATATAAGGAGGTTGAAATAATTAAAGCTAAAGTTAGAAAATAGAGGTAGTTAAGTAAACAGGGAGTCACCAGTAATTTTTCTAGAGTTATCGAAATCTAACCAATTTTCAGGCAGAAGCAAAGCGAAGCACCGATGTCGCCGTACAACCGACAAACTCCAGGAGACGTACGAGAACGATTGCAGTGGCGTTCTGCATAATATTTATCAACTTCCGTTGTCGACGTGTATTGTCATGGCAAGCGCAGCCTTCAGAGCCTAGAAGCGAGGTAGCTCGATGTTTGATATCACGCCACTCACTTTTGGCAGCTTCGTTTACGGCGTTTTGGTTTCGTTTTCACCGGCGAGATAGAACGGATTTCAAAGGTGTCTCATCTTGTTTTAGACGCAATTGCTTACTTTCGTGACTACATTCCATTCAGGTGGCTACGTCAAGAAGATAGAAACTAACAGGGTTTTTTTTTTTTTTTTTGCGGATGCGCTCGGAAAGCAGAAAAAATCGAAAGTGCACTGCCAGGCCGCAGTGTGGTTGTCTGTCCCGTTTTGTCGAAGCAGCATTCTTCGAAGTGAATGGAGCAGAGGTGGTCACCTTCCGCAGCCCTCCGACTATTTCTTCGAACAGCACGTTCCCAGGCAGAACGCAGCACACTGTCTTTCGGAAAGCTGTAACACGGATAATCACGGCATGGAATATTCCCTACGTTTGCGAATTCCTGTATAAACATGCACCGAATTTGATATTCACTCGCCAAAAATATGCATGCACGCCGTCAGTTTTGCCTTGTAAGACAAAACCAGAAAACTTGGAATTCAAAGGGCATTCAGACGTCCTACTCGTTCCAATGTTTGATATACGTGCAGCCATAGACCGCAAGCTAGTGCTTCGTTCATAAACTTAAAACTCATGGAAAACGTGTTAGCGAGCATTTCAATCTTCAAGTTACCTTCCGTCGAGCTTTACGCATGTATTACACGCATGCGCGCCTTTCACATTTCTTTTAATTTAACAGCATATGCGAAAAAAACGGGCGATCGTCAGCGAACGAAGCGCGAATACTTACACGTAAAAAGTGATCCCAGGCGTCTTCTTGATGCGATTTGTGCAGCCATAAGCGAAGCACGAAGTAACCATGGCCTTGTAAAATCTTTAACTGCTTTACAACAGCATGTCACAGTCTCCAAAGGCCACTGCGAGGGCGGGGCTACGAAGCGCACTTTGTCGTCTGCTTCCGAGTCGTTCCTTTTCCAATTCGGCGGCGACCGGCGTCACTACCTCCACACCAGAAGAACCTCCTTGGGTGTAGGCACGGTAAATCTAGGAGGCGTTGGCACGGAGAAGGCTTGGTGAGAGATCGAGTCGAACAAAAGCCGAGTCAAGCCCCATCTAGAAAGAACGAAAACTTGAAATATGTTTCGCTTTGTGGTAGCGCGGACGGCGCGCTTACGCGTCGATGAGTTCATTGTGTGTACTACATCTCCTAGGCATATTTCTTGCCTAGCCGGAGATCGTTCAAAGTGCTTCAAAAAAAGCACACTGGCATCTTGCTATGGTGTATACACTGCTCGGGATTTTTCGTTGCAATCATGGGCCCAAACACTGTCGCAGTCAAGACCCGTTGCGTACGCTCAAGACCTGCTGGAGGCAGCGCATTCAACAAGCGGACTTACGTGGGGCTCAACCATCGTTCTCACGTCTCTAGCTCTCCGAGTAGCTGTCACGTTGCCACTTGCCGTCTATCAACATCACGTGCTTGCCAGATTTGCCAACCTCGATCGCGAAATGGCCGGCATTGCTCAAGAGCTGAAGCGCGAAACGATGCAAGCAACGCGCATGTTCAATCTCACTGAGAAGCAAGCTCGGCTCCTTTACAAAAGAAACGTACGTTGTTTGCGCAGTTTCACGTGATAACACGCTCTACATGGAACGCGGCGTTAGTAGGTCTATAGCGCCGCAGTCAAGGTCTTAAGCTGGGCTGTACATATTGTTTTCTATTTCGCCCGACTCAGAATATCTAGAAGTCCCAAATATCTTTGTCAGTTTACATGCGGTCCCCATTAAACATGTGCCTTAGAATGATGTAGCTTTCTAGGTACGCCTATGCTGCAAGCTCCCTTGAGGGTTCTGGGGGTTTATCAGAAAATGTTCAGAGTGGTAGACACGTTATGGTTGAGCCATTGCGGGACGGATAGGTACAAAGCTTTCGTGTTGGGCTATCCACGATCGCGGTGCAAGAGAGCATGCGACTCGCGTAGGGCTGCTCGCACTACATGGCACAACTTTACGTGCTTTTCGCTTTTCATGCATCAGTAAACCAGTATGCATGAGCCCAGAGCTCCACCCTACATCTTAATGCCCAAAATCAAAACCCTCAGAAATTTGGTTGTCCTTGTGGGAAATAAACTCGGGTGTAGAGGAAGGGATTGATTTATTCGTCATAGTGAGAATGTTGGGCAGAATCTTGTTTGCGTGTCTGCTGGTGCCAACTGAATAGATTTCCCGCTCCCAGTGATGCAATTGTGCAAGTTGGTTTTGTTTTTTATTTTATTTTTAAAGAGTATGGATTCTTTTTTACAAATATGCTGCAATAGTGGGGGTCCTATTGGCTTCACAGACAAACTCTACATTGGTGCTGAGATACTTTGCAACTTTAAGATTACATTGAAACTGTTAGTTAACATAAACTTGTTAATTTACTTTTTAATTACCAACTTTAGGGCAGTTGTTTGGGTGAAAAAAATTGTACGGCATCACAAGGCATTCTTTCGAAAGCCAATAAGAGACACATGCAGTACGTGACATTTATCGTGGAACTTAAAAGCCCCAAACCAGGAAATAATAAAACCAAAAGTGCCAGGGCCGAAGGGAAGGTAGCGGCTATTTTTCTTCAAACCGGAGCCTCCCTTGATGTTGAGTGACAAACTTTTAATTAGGGTGTGTCATGGGGGTATCTCGATGTCGAAAGCAACAAGTCACCTCAGTTGTACCAGCAATTAGTTTTGGCTTTGCGTGTGATGTTTCGTGTAAAAAGAAACAACCACGGTTTTCACCTTTTTCTTGTCGTAAAAACTTGGGTAGCTATTGCGGTGTTTCATCTTGTAGTGTGTGTGACAGATGTGAAAGAGTTCTTGGCACCTATTTATAGTTTAGGAAAAAAACTACCTCGCACCTCTCATAACGCACAAAGTAGTCCACTTGTGTATTTCAAAATGACTTGCCATTTTCCTGACAAGGCTGTGCTAAGACCTGCCGAGATTCATATCTTGTCAAGGAAGCTCAGGTCTAATGTAACAGATCAGCTGTATTTTTTGTGCCCTTGGTTATATGTTGATGATGTTGGGGCTTTGAAGTTTTAATAATGAATATCTCAAGTCACATGCAATATTTTTTATGAAGCTGGTGCATATGGGTGTGTGTTTAGGCATGTGCAACAATATAAAGTCAAATGTTGTCATAAACAACAAAGGCACTCAAAGACTAGCAGTTACTTGTATCTGGTAGGTGTCACCATGTATTAAATCTTCGGTGTTCTCCTAGTAGCCTTCATCTGTTATATTCTGCAGCACCAGCATATGTTGTCTTCCAGTATGGCCTACATCAGTGACTCCTTTGGAATATGGCTTCATGGGCTTTTTTCGATTTTTTCTTTATCATGCGAAAAGAAGTCGAGGTGTAATTTGCATAACAGTGAGAGCAAAAATACACTATTACTTCAAACAGTTCTTTCCTTTCATATGTTGTCATTAGAGTACATTAAAGAGCAATTCTGGATTGAATGTGCATTTATATCTGTTCTAGTATTTTGTAGTTGCATACCTAGTTATATAGAGTATACACATCGCTCAAGGTTGTGGTTTGAATAAGAATAGGAAAATGTCTTCAAATAAATGGTTCACCATTCAAAGCTCTTTGAGAATATTCATAGGTAGTGATTAAGGTATGTGCCCCCCCCCCCCCCCTGGCCGTGTTAGAAACAGGGGACATCTCACCTGTGTGGGCAGTGTGTGTGTGGCACAGAGTGCCGCTAGAATGAGGAAAGTCACGAGATTGGGGAGGGAGGCCTAACAAGCATGACACCTCTTAAAAGAGACCTGCCACACTTTTTCAAGTAATCCTCGAAGACCTCACGGGCAGAGTTGGTTGCCCCGCAAATTGACTGCCACATATTTTTATAATTACGAACAACACAGTTATTGGAATTTGTCTCGTGCCCTAAGCACTTTCTGTTTACTTTCGACCCAGCAAGTGTACTGAAATGATCTCAAGGAGGCAAAAAGCTAAGCCTGTACATTACTGCGTGTCATGACCTTCAGCACTTTCTTTTCTCATTTTATTTGATTGCACGGCTCACTCTCAGTGTGATCATGAATGCACTGATGTAATTCTAGCTCTATGGAGTGCAAAGATGTCAACTACATTCGAGCACCTTGCGGTGGTTGTGGTAACTATGCTACTGATTGTGCTCAAATCGGCCTATCGCCATAGCTATTTGCTTATGAAGCTGTGCAAATTGAGGTTGCCACATTATTCATCAAGAGAAGAACAAGCAATTTTCAGCTGACTGTAATACGTAGTTGTAGATTTCGTGCTGGGTGTTGCACTATGTTTTGCTTGCGTGTTAACAGAAGCCTCGACTAGCGATTGGCAGCATATTCTGGCCTTGTTCAAGTAGTGTTGCAGTGCCTTTTCAAGAAAAAAACCATTACATTGCTTGGTTTCTTTGGTTGCATTCTAAGTGACCCAGTTTGATTTGTTGAACGTACTCAAAAAAATATGCTTCTCTGTGCAGCTGAAGCGACACCTCCAGAGGCTCGTGGTTCGAGACAACTGTCACCCAATGAAATCAGCCATAGTGGTACTATTTCAGCTGCCTATGTGGATTAGTCTCTCAGTCGCCCTCAGGAACATGGCCTTCATGTTGCCGTACCAGGACATGGGTAAGACGGTGTATCGTGTTTTTATTATAATTGTTGCGTGTTTTAATCGTGTACCCTAAACAGGCCGAGGCCTGTGAGCCAGCCGGCCCTCACTCAGCCGCCGCTAATCCCAGCCCTTTGTAATCACTTTCAGGGCATGCTTCTACCAGTAGCAGTAACACGGCAACATTGTTTGTTGGCTGCGCAAAATGACTTGGAAGTTCAGTGATTGTGAACCATGCTTATTGCTTAAGAGTGGGCCAAGAAAATCTCCGTAGCTGGTTCGAACATGTGTTGTGCATTTTTACTCTTGCTGCTTGCTTCAATTATGTGTACACACTAGCTCAGCAAAGATTATACAAACTGTGTCACTTAGTGCTGTTGGAGGCTCGATGTTGGGTTCGAACTTGGTGCGTTCGCAGAATATTTTCATATTGTTACCCGCCCTGCTGACGGTGAGCGCACGCCATGACGGAAGCGGTGGAACTCAATTGGCGGGACAGTGGCTGTTTGTCGATCACAAAGAATGCAAAGACCCACGTCGCCAAAGGGGCTTAGTGGCGGCACCTACTGCAGACAAGAGTTGAGTCCGGCTGCAAAGATGGAAGGTGCACTTGCGCTCCGCTGTAGCAACCAAAACAAGCGACAGCGGTGAAATTGATACACAGGCCCAATAAAGTGGTGGTCTGTCAGCCCAGTGTTGCAGGCAGGTGCCCAGAAGGTGCGTTCCCACGGCTCGTCGACGACGGAAGTCGAGCGTTGCAGGAACTGGAATGAGCGAAGTTGGGTGGCAACGAGAGGCGGTGGTTCTTCGGGGAAGATCCGAGGAGGGAGGACTTTGTGCTTGCCACCTTAAACAGCAGCCAACTGGGAGTCGAGGAGGGAGACATTCCTGTGTTCCGATCGTATTGTGAGAATGTTTGAATGAGGAGTTAGGGTATAAAACCAGGGATGCAGGGACAGGGAGAAAAAAAAAAGAGAAATGAATAAACTGTCTCTATCGAAATGATGTCCGAGCAGTGCTTTCCTCAAGGTGCCAGCAGATGAAAAATCTCGTCTTCGGCCTACTTGGCGGTAGCAACAAATGTCGCGCATCCAGCCAGGCGAGTAGAAGAACGAAAAAAGAACTTGATTTTCGGTCGAGAATAAACATCTCTGCATGGAGGCTTCACCTTTACAACAGCATATTGCCACTCTTTGATTGTTCTTGACATACTTTTTTTTTTTATTTCAATGACAAAACAGATATGTTAACAAGTATATTGCCAAAACACCTTTGTAACGAGCATTATCAATAAAAATGTGCCCGCACACCTAGCAAGCCATCCGTAAGAGTTCACCAACCTCTTCAAACTGCCTCATATCTGGCATCATTGGATGGGCAAATCTGCAGCTGCCGCTTTCAAATAAATCATTTTTTGAATGTTTTAATCTTTACTCCATTATTTTGTGTGAAAGAAAAGTGTGCTTTTTATTTTACAGCACTTTCAGCGAAAACATGCAAGTCGCCTCACACCAGTATTCTTGGCTCATTGCACCAACTGAACTTGCATGGCGGGGTTGTGAAATGCCCTTATAATGCAGCTTTGAATTATGCCACTGATTTCAGTTTGACCACTTTGTTCCACAAACGACACCATCCTGACGTTACTTTAACAGATAGCATTAATAAAGAGACAGACAACCAATTTTTATGGCACTTATTTTCTTTAGCGCAATGAAATGCTCACCGCTCGTAGTATCTAGTCGTGGAATGTTAACATGGAAAACACTATGAAACATTTGTTCTCAGGATGTTTTCAAGCTGCAGTGAATATGAAGTCGTAAAATACACATGTGACCGCATATGTATTCCAAACAGAGAATGTGAGAGCAGTTCATGTTTGAGTACGGAAGTTTGCTACTTGTGCATGCACTCCATGCACATGGGCCATTACTCGACACGGTACATTGGCTACCACGGAGACAGCACTGCTCGCCACTGTGAAACTCCTTTTAAGCAGCACAGAGTAGTGGAGATAGGCAATAGTATGTATACCCTAATTTCGAGGGATAACTATGGCACTTGTGACAGCGTCGCACTATGTGACTTCGTACAGCAAAGTGATTGGCTCCATAATTTAACTTCAAGGCTCTTCCAACAGGCTGCGTGACATACCTTTTTTTTTAACACAATTTAAAAATATAAGTTTTACTCGCAGCGTGAAAAGCATGCTGGAATCTGTCACTGCATTTTACGGTCTTAATTTTTAATGGGGTGTAATCACACATTGTGGCCAGTTTTTGGTCCCTTTAATTATCAAAATCCAGCTGTAATATATTTTAGCTTCACTGTCAGCAGCCAGACTGGTGGAAGACCATTCAAATCTACGACAGCTTGTGAAATTACACCATTCATCATTCACTTTCGGAAGCTTTGGAAGCGTGTAATTCTTCTTGAAGAGACATATTTGGAATGCTCACTGAAAGGACATGTAATAAACGTGCACTGCTTCGTTATTCTCTTTTTTTTTTCTTTGTTACACTCAGTTTGAAATTGCATTGTAATTTGTATGCTTCATTGCTTGTCTTAAGCTCCCGCAGGGGCGTCTGCCCAAGCAGGCGTTTGGTGTGCAGCGACACCATGGACCCTAGCTAACGGGGGGCTTCGACCTCTCCCACCCCTAGCCATGCGTGACTGAGCTGTGTCCGGGAAAAAGGGGATCCCTGGGATTGTGTCGACGCCGGGTGATTGGACCTTTAAAGGGCCACTCACCAGGCTCCCATACCGAATTTTAGTTAGACAGTGGAGAGAGAGAGATAAAGATGCAAGGAAAGGCAGGGAGAGTTGGACAGTGGAAGTAGTTGGGTGTCCGATGAGGAACATTTCGCCATAAAAATTTTTCGGATCGGTTTATCACGAGCGGACAAAACAGGTTTTTTAAAGCGGCGCGAAATGAAGATAAGAGGAGGCGAGCTCAAAACCCTTGCCGCTCCTCCGCGTAGCCTTCGCAAGCCAAATCTCTTCCCCACCCTCTCCAGCATTCGACCATGAGGTTACGTGCGCATGACGTGCCCAAACAAATCCAACTCCCGAGAACGCGAGCAGCATTGCTTTGTTGACCAGCGTTATTTTGTGGTCTTCTGCCTGTTTCTGCGGGATGGTTTGGAAATGCTAGCTTAGATGCGGTAGAGTAGATGAACACAATGAGTGCGTGAACGCGTAGGAGCGTTCCACAGCGGTCGTCTGCTCAATGCACTCACAACGGGGACACGAACGCATGCGAAACGCTGGTACAGTAGCCTCGCATCTCGTAGCATTTCACGGGAAAAAAATAAAAGAAAAGCACGCACAATTTTTCATTGCATCTCATTATTTATTTCAAGTTTTGTTGATCTCCTAAAGCAACAACATAAACTACACATGTTGTGTTAAATAATTTTTGCCATGTCATGTGGTATACTGTTGACAACGTCGGAGCAGACTCGTCCACGTAGAGGACCAACGTCACTGCATTGCGGTGTACATAGGGCCATTCCTACGCCTACGTCATGCCCTCATTCTCTACGCGTGCACCGGCAGAGGGGAGGGGGAGCAGCTTTCATCTTGAAATTCGACCCATTTCCGCGTCACGTAGCATTGCAAAGTTTGGCAGACGTGATCATAAACACTTCGTCTACACATTGCGCTTGTCAGATCAAAATTGTCAAACCTGGTGAGTGGCCCTTTAAGCCCCCCCCCCCCCTCCCGACAGGGGCAACACACCACTTTGGCCCCGGCTTCATGTAGACGGCACCCTTGGGCTGACCCATTCAGGGAAAATCCGCAGTCGCCTTTTCCTGTCTCTCTTGCCCTCCTGATCTTCGTCTTTTCTCTCTTCCAATCTTTCCTGTCATCTCCTCACTTGTGTTTACTTCCATCTTCTAGGTGGCAAGGGTTAACCTTGTGTATGTGCCCTCTCTTAGTCACATATTATTGGGTTATAGTGGCTTTGTACAGCTGGCGTTGTAATTGTGCTGCCGCATCCCCTTGTTGGGTTCGATGGTGGGTGGCTGGCATAGCTGCGGAATCAATAAATACTTTATAGCCACTTTTTCATTTCCTAAACTGTCTGATCGTCCTCCCCTTAAGAGGGGGCGCAACAAAGCAACACTGAATGTCTTCCTAAAGTCAAAAGAAATTTTCCCACGCTTCCATGTGATTCACTGTGAAACACAAGAAAAAAACGATCTCTCCATTTGTCATATCAAAATGCCTCACCAATACTCTTGGTCCAGGTTATCAGGCGACACTCATGGCTAGTGGCGACCTTCTTCTCAAAGTTCAAAGCAAGGCCCAGTATGAAAACCTGACAAAACTCTCCTCTTTTGGAACCACACCTGTATCACACCACACCGTTCCCTGAACAGTTCCCGAGGCGTAGTCTGATCAAGACCTGATTAACCTGACAGAGAGTGAGCTCCTTGGGGGCTGAAATGAACATCATGTAACGCATGTAGAGAGAATTAAGAAACCCCAACAAAGCACCTCATTCTTACATTTTGCACAAGCACACTTCCACAATATATCGAAACAGGCTACTTGAAGTTACAGGTCCGACCCTACATCCCCAACCCCCGATGTTGTTTTAAGTGTCAGCATTTCAGCGACAGCTCTCAGAGCTGCCACGGCCGTCAAACCCATGCAAAGTGTAGTTTGCACGAACACACTACAGACAACTGTGGAGAAGCAACTACGCACTGCGACGGTGGACACCCCGCTTACTCCCGCACATGTCCTGCATGGAAACATGAAAACGAAATACTTATACTTAAAGTAAATGACAATATCTCGTTCACGGAGGCACACAATCCTCTACTTATGCAGGGTCCTTCGTTCGCAGAAGTGGCACAAAAGGGGGCAGTGCCACCAAAATCCGTGGCGCCCACACGTACCACAGAAAGTGGACGAGCGGCAGCGCCATTGATCCCCTCCACAGAAGTAGCATAGGCTCATCTGCCACCAAAGGGCTTGCAGGCCACCATACTTGAAGCCCCACGACCTTCTGTTTTGACAGATAGCCTTAAGACTTTCGCGCACGCACGCGTGAACCGGAAGCGGGCATCCAGCACCTCGTCCGAGGTGATGGACACAACAGCAAGTCCAACGGTGTCTTCAGCGCCGAAGAATAGGCGCGGCTCTTTTGAGCGCGCCAGAAAGTAAAAAAACCATCATCACGGGGCCTGACAAGGGCTCCTGACTTTATGCAATACTTCTTTAGTACACACAGCACTCATTTACACTCATAATGGATACACAAATAATACAATAGAACGTCAGAGGACTGCTCAAAAACCTTGACGATATCCAGGAACTCTTACAAAAGCATTCCAAAAATGCTGTGTGTAAAAGAGACTCACTTAAATTCCAGGAACACCATTTTTCTACGTCGTTATGTAATATTCAGAAAGGACTGCAATGACGCTGTAGGGTCATCTGGTGGTGGGGCCATTATAATTGATCAGGGTGCAGCATGTACACATCTACCACTAGAAACATCCCTTGAGGCAGTGGCTGTTCGAGCAGTTTTTTTGAAAAAACTCGTCACCATCTGCTCTTTTTACTCACCTCTAGTGTACCGCTTTGAAAAACATGAATTTCAGTCCTCGATAGATGAACTACCTGACCCTTTTCTGGTTCTTGGAGACTTTAATGCACATAGTAGTTTATGGAATGATTCTCGCTGCGATGCACGAGGTCGTCTAATGGAACATTTCCTTTTCTCATACGGTGCTTGTCTTTTGAATCAGAAGGAACCAGCATATTACAGCCTAGCCAACACCTACTCGTCCATAGATTTCAGCATTACATCCCCTTCACTCTTACCCCTACTCAAATGGAAAGTCATTAATAATCCTTGCAGAAGCGATTACTTTCCAATAATTTTGAGCATACCAAGAGCGAATGCATGTCCTCCACAGATTCCCAGATGGCAGATTGACAAGGCCGACTGGGAAAGAGTTTGAAAAGCTACTCACCTAAACTGGTCCAACATACGTGGCTTAAGCAGATGCAGCTGTTGACTTCTTTATTACTGTATTCCACAAACGGGACTCTGCGCAAAATGATGGGTTCCTTGGCGGAATAGCGAGTGTTAAAATGCATGCAAACAGCCGAGAATCTTGATAGTTTCAAAAACATCAAGTTCCAAGGAAGAAGAGTGCGTCGACAAGCTAGAAGAGAGAGCTGGCAGAAATTTTTAACGGGTATTAATTCATATACAGATGTGGCAAGAGTGTGGAACACGGTTGGTAAAGTAGCAGGACGACAAGCACACTAACTTCTACTTGTGAAGACACAAGGTGACAGCTTGATGGACCAAGCGAACTCCCTTGGGGTGCACTATACTCAAGCGTTTCAGCGACATAAAACCAAAGTAGAAAAACAGAAAATAGAGCACAAATCTACGAAATACGAGGCATACAATGAGCCTTTTTCTTTAGCTGAACTACAGGCTTCCCTTACCTGCTGTAATAAATCCACCCCAGGCTCTGACCGAGTAGTATATGAAATGTTAAAACATCTGCCATCCGAAACTTGTGTGTTCCTCGCTTCGTCCTTTGTGTTTTTTCTCTGCGCTCCCAGTTCGCTGAACGAAGAAAATGAATTACCAACTGGCCCACATTTTGATCCTTTTGCTAAAAATGCCCTTCTCTCCCGTATAATGCTGTATAGTTTTCCGGCGAGATCCGCTCAGCCTGGAAAGAAGCCATCATTATCCCTATGCTAAAACAGGGCAAGTACCCATCCTCTGTGTCAAGCTACAGGCCCATCACCCTAACTAGCTCCCTTTGTAAGGTTTTTGAAAAGATGATAAACAGGCGACTCATGCACTTCGTAGAGACATATAATCTACTTGACCCACATCAGTGCGGGTTTAGAAAGGCTAAATCTACTACTGATCACCTTGTCCGTATCGAGGCACAAATTCTGGACGCTGTCGTTCATAACCAATTTTTTCTCTCTGTGTTCTTCGATATGAAAAGGGCCTATGACACTGCGTGGCGCTTTGGCATCAACAGAGATCTGTCACATTTAGGTGTGCGGGGAGGAGTGTTAACTATAATGGAAAGTTACCTGTCAAATCATACATTTCATGTTCAAGTAGGCGTTGTTTTATCCCGAATGTTTGTCCAAGAAACAGCAGTGCCACAAGGTTGTTTACTGAGTTGCACATTCTTTATTCTGAAAATGAATTTTTCGCGCCTATACATCTCTCGCAATATGTTTTATTGCACATATTGACAATGTACAGGTCGGTCTTAAATCGTGCAACCTTTCCATGTGTGAACGACAAATACAGCTAAGTTTAAACAAGGTCTCGCATTGGGCAGACAAAAATGGTTTTAAATTGAACCCACAGAAGAGCACTTGCACCCGACTTCAGAAAGAGGGGCGTTCATCCAGATCCTGAGATTGATCTTTATGGTCAGCCTCTATCAGTAAAGACCGAGCATAAGTTCCTAGGCCTCATATTAGATGCAAAACTAACTTTCATACCCCACATCAAATATACAAAAAACAAGTGTTTAAAAATCATGAATGTTCTGAAAGTGCTGTCACACACCACTTCGGATAGTGACAGGAAGTGTCTTCTCTATCTGTATAAAAGCCTTATTTGCACTCGCCTAGACTATGGAGCCGTTGTCTATCAGTCTACCACGCCAACTGCCCTGAAGATTCTAGACGCCGTTCACCATCTTGGAATTCGTCTTTCTACGGGCGCTTTTCCCACGAGCCCCGTAGAAAGCCTCTACGCTGAATCGAACAAGTGGTCGTTTCGCCTGCAGAGATCTTACACAGCTTTTGTGTAATTTCTGAAAGTTAACTGTGACAAGGAACACCCTGCACACTCGACAATTAATGATCTTTCCAGTTCAGCATCATTTGACAACCGTTTTTCCTTGAAGCAGCCCTACTCACTGCATGTAAGGAGCCTAGCTCAGGAACTGGGCGTGCCACTTCTCAAACACCATCTGGCAGCCCCCGCTGGAAATCTCCCATCGTGGCAGTGGCAACTCATACACTGTGATGTTTCCTTCATGGAGGTTACTAAACATGCACCTACTACACGTATCCGTACACACTTCCTTGAAGTACAGCACAATTACACTTTCCCGGAATTCTTCACTGAAGCCTCGAAATATCATACTTCTGTGTCCTATGCTGCCGTTGGTCCATCTTTTTCAGATGTAGGTGTTCTGCTTCCCAATACGAGCATCTCACTGCAGAGGCATATGCGATATTATCGGCCATCAAACATATCAGAGAAATGAAGTTGGCAAAACTGTGATATATACTGATACTCTAAGCATGGTAACAACCCAGAAAACACTATAAAAACACACGAACCTGTCCATGCCTCTGTTTTCTCACTTTTATGCATGATCTGCGCACAAAAACAATATGTCATAGTCTGCTGGGTGCCAGGACAACGCGAGGTTCAAGGTATTATCGACTAGCTGTTTAAGCCTACGAGAATGCCACCGTCAATATATCTAATGTGGTCACTGCACTTGACCTTAAACCCTATCTCAAACGATAGCTGAGAGATCATTGGCAGCGGCTGTGGGACATGCAAACACAGAACAAACTTCACCTCATTAAGCCACGTCTCGGGAATCGGCCGTAAGTTTTGAGATCACGCCACACAGAAGTTACCCTCACCAGATTAAGGATAGGACACACACATAGTACTCACTCACACCTTTTGTCCGGTGGTGATCCACCTCTATGCGATAAATGCGGTGAACCACTCACCGTGCTTCATGTTTTAGTAAAGTGCGCAGAATTAGACACCCTTAGAAAAAAAACACTTCCCGTTTCCCTTCCGTCATCAAATGCCCTTGCACCCTTTGATGTTTATAGGTAGGGAACTACTTTTTAGTAATCAATCACTGTTCGCCTTTTTAAAGAACGTCAATAGTTTTAACATCATATTTCCAGGCATCCCTATAGCACGACCTCTCGAAGTAGAGGTTGCTGCTGTGTTGGAACATGAAAATAGCACCTGCCTCGCGGCCCTTAGACACAAGGACGCTGATGAGACACGCGTGCTGGGGCAAATTATCTCCATCACGCTTTTATTAACCGAACCTTTCGCCATCCATTCTCACTACACATTTCACGTCACTGCCATGATTTTATCACTTCTATGTTTTACCCGCTGTGGCGCAAGGAATTTTAAGGCCCTTATACAGCTGATCAACATATTGATTGTTCCCATCTCCTGTCCTGTGACCTGGCGCTCTTTGGCCATCAAATAGCCCTTGTGCCATAAAGCACCACAAATCATCATTGTTTGTCTTAGGCTGCTTATTTGGTGCCAAAGGACTTTTTCCCAGATATTTTAAAGAGATTCTTCTTTTTTTAAAATAATGCATAAAACAGTCTTTTGCTGCATTAGCAACTTGTTTATAACAAGTTTATGTTATATTGCTTTCAAAAACACTTCAGGGGCCTCAAAAATTCAAAGTGGGCACTATTTATGAGAAAGCCTGTGTAGGAGGTTGGAGCAATATCACGCAATTTATGTACTGAAAGCAACATGTTTTTTGTTGCCATCTTGTGGCCTTTCACACTTCTTTTTCTAGGTGCACAAGTCACATACCTGGAGCTGAGCGTCGGGGGCCTGCTATGGTTTACCAACCTGACACAGCCTGATCCGATGCACATAATTCCTCTGCTTGTGGGTCTTACGAACCTTATGAATGTAGAGGTGGGTCTTGCGATACATTTGTTATTTTCTTTTCCTTTTAAACACACCTGGTGGCCAGGACATTCAATTTCTTGTATGAATGCTTGAATTTTGTCTCCTGGCCACGTAATGTGACCATTATTTGATATTTCATGGATTATGCCTTTCTGAGTGGTTGATATACAAAAATATTGTGTTCTGCTGATGTACTGTCGTGATTAGAAACTTGAACTACTGTGAACAATCCAGGTTACCTCTGCTGGAACATTTCTTGTACCTGTGCTACAGCTCTGGGTCAGGAAAACACTATAAAGCAACCTTCTTTGTGTGTGTGTGTGTGTGTGTGTGTGTGTGTGTGTGTGTGTGTGTGTGTGTGTGTGTGTGTGTGTGTGTGCGTGCGTGCGTGTGTGTGTGTTGGGGGTTGCTGACACCCCCTGTAAAGTTGTTTGTGCCATGTGGCGTACATGCCTCGCCCAAAAGCCGCATTTTGGGTTACAACTATCGGGTGGTAGGTGGTGATGATTACCACTGTCATCATCATCATGGTTTGGTCAGTGGTAGCGCCGGTAGAGACCCCTGGCGGAAAGCAACCCTTGGTGGAGGGCAAGAGTTGAGCCAGTCTCTTCTGCGCGTGGCGGCTGCCGCGAACGGTTGTCTCTAGCGTGGGTCCTCAGCGTGTGGCACCGCGGGCCTGCGCGCCGGGGGGCCCACGTGGTAAGTCAAGCGTTGGCGACGCCGCCTTGGGTATGTAATTCGTGTGTAAGGATGTCTTAGCGTATTAAATAATGAGTCATGTATCATTCCGCGGGCGATATCGTCATTATAAATTAGTTAAATAAATCTATGTATGTTATTTGGTTTGTACCGACCATGTCTATTGTGTCCTTTCACTTCAAGAGCGTGACATGGTGCTCGCTCGCCTCGTTGAGACCCCACACTGGCTGCCCAACGTGGAGCTCTTGGAGTATCGGACGACAGCTTTTGCGGTTCAGTGCAAGCTTTTGTTAGAGTCGGGGGGAAGTAGACCTAGGGGCGACTTCTTATTTCTAGCGTTGGCGATGTGCTTTGTTGAGAAGCGAGGATATTGGTTTTGTGACGTGTTCGAATTTTCTGCAGGTTGAGTTTTTATTTTTATTTTTTTGCTCGCAAGTGTTGTTTTTTTTGTTGGTGTTAGTTTTCAAAACCATTGTTGAATTGGGACGAGAGCCATGCGGTCTGTGTCCTGGAGTGAGCAAGGCCTAGAGCACGTGGTTTGTAGGCCAGGCCCGAAGCGAGTGAGTACGGAAGCCTCGTGGGTGGTCCGATTTTCTGTAAATAGCTTCTTCTATCTCTTTGGGCTCAGGGAGCCGGGCGTCGTTGCTGACTTGTATTGCGGCTCGACGCCGGGGCATCATGACACCACCCGGAGCGGTGGACGCCGATCGCTCGGTAAGCTGCTGTGTGCGGCGAGCGATAGGGCCACCTCACAGAGTGGATTTCTCCTCGCGGCTGCCTCTTCTGCGCCTAGGCTGGGTACTGGGTGGATGCCGGTTGTTGCCGAGCGACTCATTAGGTCTAAAGCTCTGCGCATCCGCCTGTCGCACGTGGCACAACTAGGTGTATCGTGGCGCTGAGGTGTTGCGTTCTGCTTCTCTCACTTTTTTTTTCTTATCTTGCGATGCACGAGTTAGGAAAACTGATTTCTGTTTTATTTTGATGGGTGTCATGGCCACTGCCGAAGTATTAGCCAGTCGTACTGACCATCGTACCACGTGGGCGAAAAGCCCGAAGCTCCCTTTCCTAGGCCCTGCTCCCTTGTTTTGAGTGTTTGGGATATACAAATCAAGAGTGATGTGATCTATGGCCGGCTGTCTTGTGCACATCGTCAGCGCCGCTGGCCAGGAATGCGGTCGTGAGGTCGGGCGATGGAAACACCTGAGACCTGCGCAACTGCCTGCAGTCCGGCGCCCTCGTGAGTGCTGGTCGCAACTGGAAGACGTGTCGGCGCTAGCGACGGTTCGTCGCGCCGACGGCAACGTTGATGTTGCGGGGCCGGTACTGAGGTGAAGTTGAGCCAAACAGTGCAGCAATGTCGATCGGCGGCGGTGTCGTGGTGCAGGGACATTATGGACATGTGATGTCATTTTTTGGTTAAAGCTTGTGTAGCTGATCTTTGTTTTCGGGATATGGTTTGATTTAAGGTTTAAAAGATGTGGGGGCGCTGACACCCCTTGTAAAGTTGTTTGTGGCCTGTGGCGCACGTGCCTCGCCCAAAAGCCGTATTTTTAGTTACAACTATCGGGCGGTAAGGGGCGTTGATTACCACTGTCATCATCATCATGGTTGTGACAGTGGTAGCGCTGGTAGTGACCCCTGGCGGAAAGCAACCCTTGGTGGCGGGCGAGAGTTGAGCCAGTCTCTTCTGCGCGTTTGTGTCTAGCGTGTGTCTAGCGTTTGTGTCTAGGCACGGTTGTGTCTAGCGTGGGTCCTCGGCGCGTGGCACCGCGGGCCTGCGCGCCTGGGGCCCACGTGGCAAATCAAGCGTTGGCGACGCTGCCTTGGGTATGGAATTTGTGTGTGTGAGGAGACGACGCCAGTGAGATAAAATATCACGTGGCCCAGCTTGTCGGCTTCATCCCACTTATTGTTGGCGCTCACCAGTTCGTAGGGCTCGAGCCAGTCTTCGACGTCGGTCCCATCCGCACCTCTGAAGACCTTCAGGTCCTGTAGCCTAGGATGACCAGGGCAGTTGAACTGGAGCGAAGGCGTCGATGTAGTGGCGTTGGCAGTCATGACAGGTGGTAGCGTGCGGCTTCGCAGCTCCAGGGTGTAGCAACGGGGATTAACAGCACCTCCATCAAATGTGAGGAGGTTTATTAGCCGTTAAAGACAGCGACGAGTTAGCGTGAAGAACCGTCCAGCGATCGGCACAGCAACGAACCGAAGCACGAGCCGAGAGAGCCGGGCGTTGGCGATGCTGCTTGCTGCAGGCACATCTTCTTCTTCACATGTGTAAGGATGTCTTAGCGTATTACACAACGCGTTATGTATCATTCGGCGGACGATATCGTTGTTATAAATTAGTTAAATAAATGTATGTATGTTATTTGGTTTGTACCGACCGTGTCTACTGTGTCCTTTCACTTCAAGAGCGTGGCATGGCACGTGTCAGCCAATTTAGACCCCACAGTATGTGTGTGTGTGTGTGTGTGTGTGTGCGTGTGCGTGCGCGTGCGTGCGTGCGTGCGTGTGTGTGTGTGTGTGTGTGTGTGTGTGTGTGTGTGTGTGTGTGTGTGTGTGTGTGTGTGTGTGTGTGTGTGTGTGTGTGTGTGTGTGAGAGAGAGAGAGAGAGAGAGTGTGTATATTGAGGTGAGGCTGCATGAGCTATTACAAAACAGCAATAGTGTATATTTGAGGTGAGGCTGCATGAGCTATTACAAAACGGTTTGATGCTTTGCATATTTCATAGGAGCGCAATTCAGGACTATGATGGCTCTGTAGATTAGGTTTGAATTCTCAGTCATTGATTGCTCTGATATCACTCCCCCTTTTCATGCCTTACAAACATGCTTATAATGATTACCTTTTTCTTTTAATTTGCCTATCTCTCTCTAGTGCTGTGATTTCCTCATTAAAGACAGCACGCATGCAGTGTTGTTTAGCCATGCCTTATCTGTTACCTATACTTAGTGTATACTGTAACAGCATGTAGGAACAAAAGCTGCCTCCAAAATTTGGCCAACAAGCAGGCAAGCAGTGGTGTACCATTAAACCTTCATATTTCAATGAAGCTGCTATATAGTGTTAATAAACTGGCAACTCCCCAATGTCTGAATGAAAGAAAAGGACACTTTGGGATTGATAGGTATTGCAAAAACAACTTCATTTTACTTAAGCCCATGACAATTCGCTGATTTGAGACGCTGTATAGTTACTGCAACCGCCATCGGATGCCGCCTTGTGCCCGCGCGCATGCTCACGAGCGCACTAAATGTTTCCAGTAAGCCGTGTGTTTAAAATAAAGTGCTCAGGGTCATGACTGAATGTTGAGTTTACCCAAAACATTTAGTATTTTCACAAATCTTTAGCAGGTTTTGGAATGACATGAATATCTCAGTCCAACATTGGTCCAACAGAAGTGTGTTCGTTTTATCATGAACAGTGTGGGGTCCGAAAATGAGGCTTGCTCTTGAAACACACGGTCACACTAGACACCGTTGGGAAAACCAACACGTGTCCATTAATTCATTGCTTTTACATCACTACGATACTGCTAGCCAAATCACGTACATTACTACTACATTACTAGTGACTCGCTAAACAAGCTTATAGAATATGCCAATACAACACACAAACAACACAACAACTAGGTACCGAGAATTCAGCGTCTCCGACGTTCGACTGACCACGGGCGGCCCCTAAATATTGTTTCTTAGAATAGCGCATGGCAGTGCAGTGATGAAGCAGTCCATTGTGTGAAAGATTGGTCAGTTATCAGAGTGAGCTTTTTTTTACTTAAAGTATGGGGTCAGTAAATGGCTTTTTATTAACGCTGAATCATGGCGAAACACAGGATGCCCTCCTTCTTTGGCTACACGCTGTTTAGATGGACAAACTAAGCATTGCTGAAGAAAAAGATAATGAGTGAGAATTCTGCTCTTGTACTATTTTTGTTGAGCTACAGAAATGGAGTGCTTGCCAGACACTCCTTTATTGTTTATATTTTTCAAAAATGAAGTGAAAGCCTTGCCTTATTTTTGAGGTGCTAAACTATGAAAGTTAGCAGGAATTTATATGCTTTCAATCAGTTCGAGAAAGAGACTTCTAATTCTCACGCTTATATGTACAAGGTGCATGTCCTTCTTCGTGCAGTTTCACGTGCTACAAAGGCAGAAGCACATGGCCAGCCTGCGAAGGTGGATCACAAATTTCGCCAGAGGTGTGGCGATTGTCAGTGTGCCGATTGCATGGATTATGCCTGCCGTGAGTGTTCATTTTCTCCTCCTCTTGCTTTTGCACAGATCTCCAGCACAATCTAGTCCATTGCTGTTCTTTGGCTAGTTCTTTTTTGAATGCATTGTCAGTTTGTTCCTTTGACTGAATCTTCATTTTTTGTGTGGCATATTATCTATTACTATGCCAGTAGGCACGGCTTGGACAAGGCAGTGACATACCTTGTCCATGCTTTCTTTACACTTGGCAGCAGAGCAGCATTTAGGTACAGTCGAACACGAATATATCGAACTCGAAGGGGATCGTGAATTAGTTCGATATATGAAAAATTCTAAATAAAAAAAAATAGAGGCCCCCAAAGCTTACTTGTAGGGGATCATCACCTACAATAGGTGCATGCGAGAATGACATCTAATTCCGCACACACGCCGCAACAGAATGATTTATTTGCATGAAAAAAAAAATCACTAACCTTGGCCTGCTTCTTTGTTTTTGAAATGTTAATGACGCTAGTCTCTATGTTATCACAACTCGTAAAGCGCATCGTCTATGCGCTTGTCGTCGTCGTCATCTTCACTGGTTTTCTCAACTTCCGCTGTCTTGAAGCCTGCTTTGTGGAAGCAGTTGACCACTGTGTCCATCTTCACATTCCGCCAGGCATTGAAGATCTCCGCGGTGGAAAACTTCGTAGAGGTTTCCGGCCACTCCTTCGTCAGCAACTGCTGGATGTCCTGGCTGCTGACAGCTTCGCTTTTACCAGAAATGGTTTTGCCAACGATGTTTTAGAGCTGCTTAAATCAGTGAAGCCACCCGCTGTTGTTGGCGAAGTTGTTTTACCAAGTACAGCGGCAAACCATTAGGCCTTGGCGATCAGCATCGGGCCATCCACCGAAATGTTCTTCACGCGCACTTCTAAAAACCACGCATAAAGTGCCTTTTCTACATTCCCCTGGGCGGAAGCACGCACATGACAGACTCCCAACGTTTGCTGCTCCGCCGCCTTTGCCTTGATACCTGCCACGTTTTTCAACAAGGCTCCGTGGTATCCTGAAGTCGTCAGCGACGGTCGAACATTTCCCGCCCGCCTCAACACGCTGAATAGCCCTCAACTTCATCGCAAAGTCAAGGGTCTTGCAGTTCTTGACGCTGGCCATAGCTACACAAAAAGTCGACAATTCAAGGAGTCTTTTCACATCATGCATGAAACAGTGGTACATAGGTGGTACACATACGGTGGTACATAGGCGACGCGACAGCTCGAGAGCAACAAAGCGTAAACTAACATAGCAAACGTAAAGAGCGGGCACTCTCGTTGAACCATACGGCCCACATGACTCGTAGCGCTCCTAGCGGCCGGCATTAAAAGGTTACAAGCTTCATTTTCCGATCTTGTCATCGTGCCACAATGGTTTCAGTTTCGGTTTCAGAATTCATGTGCGAAGGTCGGGTGTTTTTTTTACTGTTATTCAAGAGTGCTTTCATTAGCCGTTTTTTAGGGTCAAATAGGCTGGGGGCATGGCTATTGCAAATACGTTCACCTGTTGGCAGTTCTTGTGGGAGAAAAAATGCAGGCCCATTTTACAAATGAATCATGTTTATTCAGACAGCAGTACCTAAAAACTATTATAAATAAGCTAAACAGGCATTTTTAAGTAATACATTACCTCCCTATTGGGAATTCGAAAAATCAATGCATAACGATTAATATTTATACAAACTGCAGTGTATTGTGTGTGTTTCTTCAGAAATAAGATTGCTATATATGTAGAAAAAGCACCATTGCATCGAGCAAGCCATAAAAAAGGTGCACAATATTCGCAACCATATTCATTGTCAACACCATTTCAACACATCAGTAAGCATTAAAAATATTGTCAAAGAATTGTTATTTATTAATTTTCTTTATTTACTTATTTCTAGGTACTGTTGGCCGATTGGGCCGTTACAGGGGTGAGGCATAAATCTAATCTGAGTGGTATTGAAAACTGGGCAAACTGGTAACGATTCATCGTAAGAGGTAAATAGTGCGAAACACGAAGACAGAGAAATAGTAAGACGCAAGACGAGCGCTGTTTTGGGCTGTTTACTTCTTACAATAAATTGAATCATTGTTTACATGAAATAGCAAGGCACATCTTATGCGAAAAATTTTATAAACGACTATGTGTCATTACATATAAACAGTGAACAAAATCTGACATAATAACTATCATGTCATACATAAAGAAGCATTGTATTGGTGTAAAAAAATACAAAAATTGTACATCACATTATTTTGCTCTATCACCTACATAATCCATACATCATTCACTGCAGAACATTAAGCATCAAGACACTAAATTCTACATGTCACATGAAATTTGTGTGATTCGGTACATTCGATCAAATTAGGAAAAAGAGCTAGCATTCACGAGGATTTACTTAAAAATGTTCTGTAGTTTTGAATTCAAATTTTTTAAAGTTTCACTATTTTGTACAGTATTTTATAGTTCTAGGAAAATAAGAGTATGCATATGTGTATGCATATGTGTATGCATATAGATTTGGGGATTTTAAAGTTGCTGTGTTAGTCACTTCGTAGGTTCTAGACAGGTCGCAGAATGAGGTTCTGTGCTAATTCAAAGTTAAATGTATTTCGAGAAAGCAAAAACAAGAATTTTAGTCTGGCTCTACGATAGTGTTTCAAAAGAGTGGGTAAGTTTAGTTGTTGCAGCATCTCTGTCACAGAATTAGTTCGAGAGTATCTTCAAAGAATATATCTAGCCGCTCTTCTTTGTACTCGTTCAACATGATTTTTATGTGGGATTTAACGTCCGAAAACCACCATATGATTGTGAGAGACGCCGTAGTGGAGGGGTCCGGAAATATTGACCACCTGGGGTTCTTTAACATACACTGAAATCTGAGCACATGGGCCTCAAGCATTTTCGCCTCCAGCCGGGATTCAATCCCACGACCTGCGGGTCAGCAACTCGCTCAACTTCATTTATTAGTCCTTTATGATAAGGGTGCCATATGATACTCGCATATTCTAATTGCCGTTCTTACAATTGCGTCTGGTTTAACCGTAATGCTGGTTACCAACCACTGCAACTACCCCATTGGCTTAAATCTTGGTGAAACGTTAGGATATGTGCAACCTGTCAACCATATCGATGATATTATTCTTCCCGACGAAACGCCATGTCACGTTGCCGCAATCACTCATGCGCCTGAGCCATCAAGTTCGTCAGCCTTCGACAATGCTATTGACATTCCCCTCTCACATCGCCGCCAACTTGTTGCTCTCCTTAACAAGTTTCGCTCTTCTTTCGACTTTCAAGAACCTGCTTTGGGCCGCACCACGACTATCACTCATACTATTGACACCGGCTCACATTTGCCTCTGCGACAGCGTCCTTACCACGTTTCCGCCGAAGAGCGCCGCGTCATTACGGAGCAAGTAGATGACATGTTAAAACGTGGAGTCATACAGCCTTCTCAAAGCGCTTGGTCATCACCTGTGGTTCTGGTAAAGAAAAAAGATGGCTCCGTTCGATTTTGCGTGGACTATCGCTGCTTAAACAAGATTACAAAGAAAGAGGTCTACCCGCTACCACGAATAGACGATGCTCTTGACTGTTTACAAGGCGCCGAGTACTTTACATCCTTGCATCTGCGTTCTGGGTATTGGCAGGTGCCAATGGCTGAATGTGATCGCCCTAAAACTGCCTTTGTAACGTCGGATGGCCTATATGAGTTCAAAGTCATGCCATTCGGGCTCTGCAACGCACCTGCCACATTTGAGCGCATGATCGATACCATCTTGCGTGCCCATAAGTGGAAAACTTGCTTGTGTTACCTGGACGACATTGTAGTCTTTTCATCTGATTTCCCAACACATCTTGTTCGCCTCCACGATATTCTGACGTGTCTAACTTTGGCAGGCCTACAACTTAACTCCAAGAAGTGCCACTTTGCAGCACGAAAACTAACCATCTTGGGACATATCATCACAAGAGACGGTGTTCTTCTGGATCCCGATAAGCTTCGAGCTGTTGCTGACTTCCCGTTGCCCACATCACTGAAAGCCTTACGAAGTTTCGTCGGTCTCTGCTCCTACTTTCGTCGATTCGTGCGCAACTTCGCGTCCATCATCGCACCTCTCACGAGTCTGCTTTCCAACAGCAAAGGTATATCTGCATGGTCACCTGCATGTCACGACGCATTTCGCCAGCTGCGCCGCGTGCTGACCTCACCACCTATTCTTCGTCAGTAGGACCCTGCTGCTGCCACAGAAATTCACACCGATGCAAGTGGCATCAGTCTTGGTGCAGTTTTGGCACAACGGAAAGGCACCCAAGCCAAATACGTAGTCGCCTATGCAAGTCGCGCTCTCAAGAAGGCTGAATTGAATTACTCCGTGACAGAGAAGGAGGAGTGTTTGGCCATAATCTGGGCGTTGACGAAGTTTTACCCGTACCTTTATGGCCGTCCTTTTGACGTGGTCACAGACCATCACGCTCTATGTTGGCTGTCCACCTTGAAAGACCCGTCCGGGCACCTGGGTCGTTGGGCACTTTGATTGCAAGAGTACGACATCCGTGTCGTATATCGTTCCGGTCCCAAGCACGCGGATGCTGATGCACTTTCGCGATCGCATTAACACCAGATGTGGCTTCTCTGTCACCCCTTTTTACCATCTTGTCACCAATCGACACCACTGACATGCTTTCTGAGCAGCGTAAAGACGCATACCTTGCATTGTTACTCGACTACCTTACCGATCCGTCTGCTGTCCCTTCCATGAGAGCGCTGCGCCGACAAGCAGCCCACTTTTCCGTGCGAGACAACATTTTGTACCGCCGCAACTATATGCCTGGTGGTCGGAAGTGGCTCCTTGCTGTCCCAACTCATATGCGCTCTGACATCTGCATGAATTTTCATGCAGATCCCCAAGTGCTCACGCAGGTGTCCTGAAAACCTACGAAAGGCTGCGCCAATGATATTACTGGCGAGGAATGTATCGCTTTGTGCAGAAATACGTTCAG